GTTAGTCTCACGGTATCAGATCTCAAGATCCTGTTGGTCTGCCACCAGTACTGAGATCCTTTAGTCTCACGGAGTCAGATCTCAAGATCTTGTTAGTCTGCCACCAGCACTGAGATCCTTTAGTCTCACGGTATCAGATCTCAAGATACTGTTGGTCTGCCACCAGCACTGAGATCCTTTAGTCTCACGGTGTCAGATCTCAAGATCATGTTAGTCTGCCACCAGCACTGAGATCTTTTCAGTGTCAAATCAGGTTGGTCTGCCATCCAGATTGCGACCGTTCGATCTCATGGGGGCGTCAAACTTTTCAGATAAAGTCCTCTGGGGAGAAACAAAATAGACCAAATGCCTCCTTAAAAATCATTTCGTCTGAGAGGCAAGGAACCAAAAGTTTGCATACAGAATAAAACAGGTATATAAAACGGACGTACATATAACTCATATACTAGATGTGGAGGAACAATCATAACACAGACTCTACCTGTGAAATGAAATGTCTGAGACGGGCTATGCAAAACAGAAACGAGTAAGAATTTAAGTGTTTATTGTTTAGAAGAACTGTTGGGGGTAGGTTTAAGCAGTGTCAATCAATACTTATTGATATACCAATCGGTGCCCGATGAGTGATATCCTGCCGGTCGTCTTCACACCCCCCCCCCCCTTTTCCCCCCACCCGAACATTTCCTGTATCTATGTTAATAATCCATGCATAGAAAAGTGCAAATACCAGGCAGGTTCATACTGTAATGTAACAATTTAACCATCTCAAACCACGCATAGAAAAGTGCAAATACCAGGCAGGTTCATATTGTAATGTAACAATTCTACCATCTCAAACCACGGATACATCAACATTCTAACATGGAGCTCATCATGATGTAGCAGGTCCTTTGCAGAACGTCGCTCTGCCTGAAAGAAACTCGGTCTCACACCAGTTCTCCCGCCTCGTGTGCTTTAATACTCAAAGAATCACTTATATCCTGTGCCCATCTTCGTGTTGGTTGGCCCTTGCCAATTTTTCTCAATCCGTCGTTGCGCTTGATATGACAAAAATATTTCAGTTTCCGAGACAAGATGCCGTTTATTAGGCAACCTTCCTTGATGTTCAGATCTTTCAAGATGTCAGTATTTCTCCTCTTCTTTGTCCAAGATATTCTGAGCATTTCAACTCAAACGCCACTATACTCTTTCTTAAGGACTGAGAGATAGTCCACGACTCACATCCGTATGTAGCCACAGAGAAGATTACATGCTCTCAAAATTCTAATTTTGATCTCCTTGCTGGTGCTTAACCATAGACTTTTAAGGCTGTTCAATCTTTGCACTGATATGACCATCCTTCTTTTAATTTCTGTCAAACATTGCTGTTTATTACAAAGCCTAGATATTCAAAGTTTGTGACATTATTGTTATTTGTGGGTGACAGTCAGTTTTATCCGTGGACATTATTTAACATGGAGATACTGCTTCTAAAAGAGCCGACTGTCTGGATCTAGCATTTCACTTGTCTACGGTTAGGTCTAACCAGAAACTTCGGGACGCTTTAACCAACATACACCATCTAAGCTGTAATCAACCGCACACATGTATTACTACCGTGACTGACCGTAGTCACAGACTGACACCGTGACCATCTCCAGACGACCGTGACTGTGACTAACAACGTTCATTGCGCTCATTTATTTTCCAAATCTGCGTGACTTATACATTCAGTACCACAGCTAAAATCCCACGTTCAGTGCCACAGTTAAGACCACAAGAGTCACCCAAGACGAAGTAAATGGGTGACACCGATCCAAACACCAAGTCTAATTCACGTAGGCAAGCCAGTTTGTTGTTCAGAACTGATTATTCTGCTCCGTCTGTAGGAGGAATATATTAAAACCCACAGGTAACAACATCAGAACTGCCCAGCCATGGTACTCTGTGAAGCCGATTAACTAAGTCTAATTTGCACGATTCTTGAATCTGCTCATTCTGCTGTGTATATGGTGTCCCCTTTGCTATAGTTGTTAATCCAAGTTGTGAACACGCTGACGACGAAGTTTCTTTGTGTGTATCTATGTCTGCTTACTAAGATTAACGCAGGCAAATATTCTGCAAGATCAAGCGGCGGCTTGGACCGCTAGCAACACGTAGTCAGTAAGCCATCGGCAACACTTGCTAATGTGTCAGGTGTGGAGGCCTCGCTTCGCTGTCTCATACAAACACCAGTCTCAGAGATATTTTTCAAGTGTACTAGCAATTTCCCCTGGTCTCTGGGTAGTAAGATCGGGTGCCCGTGTGTGTTGTCGCGCACGAAAAAATCTCTTGGCAGTTGGAAATCGGAAAGAGTAGCCTAAAGGCGCTGCCCGGGCAAATTTGAGTTAAAAGTCTAACCAAAATATTTCAGGATCCTCGCCGGTGTTATGGAGTCCGTGCACTGCGCTGCTGAGATTCTTCGGACTCAGGCTTGAGTTAGAAGTAGAACACAGCACTTACAGGTTACTACCCATGTGCCATGATGTTAATCCGTTGTATAAACCAAAAACCAGAAATTGAGCGTTGCGTGCACGTCTATCCGTTTTACTACCTGGCTTATCTGTATGCAGACTGTTTTGTTTCTTGCACTTCAGGCAGATGCGCTGCGACTTTGAAGGAAACCTCCCATTAGTCGACTCTTCCGACATCTTTGTTAGGGAGACAGTGGATCTATTCTCGTTTTCAGCACAGTGTGACCCGGAACCCAGACGGCAAGTTTTAGAACAATTGATTTTGTGAGGACCAAGCTCAAGCTTGTATTACCAAGTGTATATTTTAAATGTCATAGCACACAATAGACAACTTTGCCGTTCCGACGTTGTTTGTTAGTTGGCAGATACTCGGTTCATATCTGAAACCATTAATTAATATTTCCGAATTTAAAACAGCTAAACTTAATCGAAAATTATCCATAAAAACAAACCATGTGCCTGGTTTTACAAACACTAGCCGTCCACTGAGCTTTTGGTCAAACGGGCAACCCCGTCTGGGTCAATACAGCCACACCTGTCGATACCAAAGGCCGACACCTTCAGTGCAAACGTAAATATTGTCTCTCACGTGTCGATACTGCCCTGATGGTGTTGACATTTAGAAAAGAAATCCGGAAGAAAACTGAAATGACCTAATTTAAATAGACCGCCCTGGGATACTACAGAAGGCCAGGATGTCCAGTCAAACAACGTTAGAGACCACATGCCTAATATTTAGCTGCCAATTATTCCGTGTGGGTTTAGGGGTCTAATTTTAGGGGGGGGGGGGGGGGGAGAAAAAAAAGCATCTCATACAAGGCAACTATTTGGGGATTTGCTACATATGTGTTGGGCAGATATCGTAGCCTAACTGTAGACCACTATAACATGTCCAAACTGCCGAATACAGAAGAAACGCAATTACTTTTGGAGGTTGGGTGGTATGAAATAATTAGCGTGCCCACCACCAGGGACGGGGAAATGACTTCAAGCTATGGCAGTCACGAACAATGCCAGAAACAAACACTTCCAAGAGAAACACTAGCCTACTTCGGCCGGCAGGGGAGACAAGCCAGATGCTAATGACCATACTCAATTAACTGCGATCTGCGAAAGAACTACGATAAGAAAGCTCAACAGTTGGGGGATGTGAGAGAATACAACCGAACGTTTTGAATAAATTGTAGGGTAGCAGTGAAGATTTCAAGCACACCGCCCTGTTTGTGATTCATACGGGAATATGGCGATAGGCAAATATGTATCGCCCAATAAGAACTGATATGTCAACTATTCTCGTCCTTTGTAGGATGCAATTTTTCGTTATTTGAAGCCCTACTTTGGCTCTTGCCAGGGGCCGCAATAAAAGCCCGGCCATAAATATGGTCTAATGGCTGAACGCGCTTTCTGGGGCCTCTCCGCGGGTGATCCTCATCCACATGGCGGCACTTTGTTTCGTCGGGTGTTTATCGCTTGTGTGATGTCCTGGTGGGGTAGAAAGTCAGTCAACTGATATGTCAGAACACGTTTGAAACGGTAAACATTTAGATCGAATTTTTTAAAAAACTGGAAACCAATGTTTTTAGACTTCTAGGAAGTCTTATATTTAGAAGTCAAATCGAAGTTCACAGCATGGGTGTGCTGGGGCATGTTGCCAGATTCGTATTTGTACACACTAGTCGGCACTTGATGGCTGAGATAGTCGAAATCATCCTGGCAATGTTTTAGTATCATGCCACATGACGATTGTGTTCAGCTTCTCGATATAAGATAACCCCACGTACTAATTAATAATTACAATACACTGATAAAACAACCCATACACAGGGGAGCTAATCATGGACAGCACCAGCCAACTGTTGAATGTATAGAACACAGAGCTGCGACAGTTCTCCCTTTAGTACAGCCATCAACAGTATCATTAATAAGGCCTAGTGCAAGCAAACTTAACCGCGCTTGTGACTTGTAACACATTCTGAGCAGGTTACAGACTTTAACACAGCATCGATTTCGGTGCAAAAACAAAATGTTGCCATGTGCCTTGGTAACTCTACGTATAATATTTAGCCCTATGCAGAGAGTGTCACAAAAATCGCAATCACTGAATTTCCAGCAACGATTCCCAAGGACCACAACAATTTCATTATTGAACCAAATGGCTCAATTCGTGAAAGACAGCAAGTACAATAGTTTGCCCATTTATAGCGAATGCCCTATGCCCTATAAGAAAGACATTGATTGGGGAAAGGGGGGGGGCAGAAAGGCGTTCAACAAGTCGCCGACAAAAACAAGATGGAAAGATAACATCACGGAAAGTCTACACAATACAACGTGTCTATGGTCGAGTTGGAGAACACCGAGAACCAGAATCTTTGATCTCTATCGACACCCGAACTGGTTAAAGAGTAAGTGGAGAAGAATCAAATCTGGAAACCTGGGTCAATTATTTCAACAAAATAGTCTTTGGTGCGGCCCGAACTAAAGGCCCCATCTGACTACACTCCCAAGGAGACTAAATGCCTATGTCAACCATGTATAGTGTGTAGACGTTTTCTTTTAAACCATTTGTTTATAAGCCCCTTGAGCACCCCCCCCCCCTTCTCTCCCCCTTCTGCCACTGTCTCACTGTCTAAGGACAGAGGAGACAACAAGGCAACAATGGTAGACAACAGAATAAACTGTCTGGTTGTAGCTAGTCTAGCTGCGGGGCACGTACCTAGGGTATGGAGCCGGCTGGGAATCATGAATAGACGAGAAATAAAGCCACTATTGTTACCGCGTCTGGTTAGTTACCGCACGATATCGTTAGATACCACACGTGAGAAATACAATGATTTCACTAAGCGCGGACATAAATCCTGAAGGTGTTGTATCACAATGTGGATTTCCTCATTACTGGTGCGAGAACAATGCCCTCTGGTCTAGGACATCACACTGGGATATTTAAAGTACAGCAGTGGACAGTATCATCCAGGTGGCTCTTTTATTTTTTCTTCTTCGTATTCACTGGCTGTAAATTCCGGTGGAAAGTTCTGGTTGTTTGCCTTCTACTGGATACTGGCGTGAATCCAGAACTTCAGCTTTCCGTGCACACCTAGTTTAAAGATCTGGCTTATCTGAATGCAGAATGTTGGTTCCTTGTCTCTCAGACAGATGCACTCCGACTTTGAAGAAAATCCATAATTAGCCGCCTCCTACGAAACGTGTGTGGGATGGCGGGGGTTCTATTCTTTTTTTTTCTCTCCACAACAGATAACAGAAACCTACACGGATACTTGTTTAAAAGCATGGGTAAACGCCTGACAACACACGCCATACTGTCCCAACTCTTCGTAAAGGCTGGCTGCATAAGACAAAACGTGACAACACACGCCATACTGTCCCAACTCTTCGTAAAGGCTGGCTGCATAAGACAAAACGTGACAACACACGCCATACTGTCCCAACTCTTCGTAAAGGCTGGCTGCATAAGACAAAACGTGACAACACACGTCATACTGTCCCCAACTCTTCGTAAAGGCTGGCTGCATAAGACAAAACGTGACAACACACGTCATACTGTCCCCAACTCTTCGTAAAGGCTGGCTGCATAAGACAAAACGTGACAACACACGTCAAACTGTCCCAACTCTCGGTAAAGGCCGGCTGCAAAGACAAAACGTGACAACACACGTCAAACTGTCCCAACTCTCGGTAAAGGCCGGCTGCAAAGACAAAACGTGACACCACACGTCATACTGTCCCAACTCTCCGTACAGGCCGACTGCAAGGACAAAACATGTCATACTGTTCCAACTCTCAGTTTCATAAGTAAATTAATGACAGTGTTATTATTCTGGCAGAAAACAAAAGTTCAACTGACGCAAGAATTCTGGAAAGTGTTCTGTCTGTGCCCATAAACCAGTAGACAGAAAACAAGATATCTAGATAGATTACGACCTCCGAGAGAATCACACAATGGCAGGCAATGGAAGCGGAGGTTCTTTTCCATGACTTGCTAGGATGACAAGACGGCTGTCCTCTAGGCTGCTATCTGTAGGTTTTATATCCTAGCAACTAAAACTGTGACACCCCTGAATGTCAAATTACAGATATCCGGTTCAACAACTAACGACGTTATAAGCAGGGAGCATGCAAAGGCAACAGGAGGTACTACCTGGTTTAGTTTACCCTAAGGTTCTGTACAGGTGATTACATGGGTAAGGAGAAACGTAATGCCGCAATAACTGCTATGCAATGTCGGTCTTTCATTAAGCAGCACAACGGTTCAAGGGTGCCCAAACAATTGATACAGCAATTACAGGAGAAAGGTAAGCCCTTATCATTAAGGTAATATAACTTGGAACAATCGTACAAAGAAGGTATCAGATAATGTAATTATTAGAAATGAAAAAAAAAAACACAACTCGGAAACTGAGCCAGCAATGATGACAGACTTGCTACGTGATCACCAACGACCTCAAAGAAAGTCGATTAAAAAGATGGCGAAGATAGATAACACTAGCAGAACTGGACAGGTGATCTTAAGTCAAACAGAGTATCGGAATGGGCTGAATGGAAGGGTGACCTTGGTCACAAACAAGAGTACCTGAATGGGCTGAAGGTGATATATCAAAAAGCAGTTTCCACAAGGATATCGGCACACGAGGGAGAGAATATAGAGATTCATGTAAACAAAACAACTGCAGTCACAATCTATTGATGCATGTCAGATGAAATGACGCAAACTTGTATGTACATCTCGGTGATCAATCTGTCAGTGATTTCTTAGAGCCAGTAAATGTGGAGGTCGTGCATGAAGGAGCATAAGAGCTCATCTGTCTACAGCCAGCTTCAAGCTCAGGGATATCGACGGTGGCAACTATAAAAGCTCTGAGGTTGATACTCGGTAACAAAGCTGCTGGGTGAATGGCAGTGTCTGATTCTTTGTACTTCGTGAAGTTGTAGATCGATACATGCGACATCAGCCGATATAGAGAATTAATAACAATTAAAAAGTCCCGGTGAAGACATGGATTACATTCTTTGGTCATGGGATGAGAAGGAGAAAACTGGAGTATATCATGACAGTAGAAAAGCTGGAAGGAAGTAGAGGCAGAGGGAGACTGAGAGAACAGATGCTGGACAGTCTGAAATGACACTGAGGATCACCTGTGTCGGAGTTGATTTAAATTACACGCGACAGAAGGTTGTGGATAGACATGATTACCAACGCCACACGGCATGGACTTATAGGAAGAAGACATGGATATAGTGCACGGTGCAGACATGGATATTGTGTTCGGTGCAGACATGGATATTGTGTTCGGTGAAGATATGGATATTGTGTTCGGTGCAGACATGGATATTGTGTTCGGTGCAGACTTGAGTGTGAGAGTTGACTTATAATGTATTCTTTAGCATTCCAAGTGAAGTTCACTGCTGCAGATACCATCCGCCTCCGTTCATCTGCGTGACTGGACTTCTCTCTCCAGTTGGTCACCGCAAGTATTTTATGTGTGGGTCTGCCTGGTATATCATGTTTCCACCGTCTACTTTGTGGTGACCTCCATTCAACTCTGTGAACTTTGTGATGTGTCATTCTTTCTTTCTGCACCAGTCACCGCAGTCTACGAGACCAAATTATGTCAGTAATTAGTGGGCATTGAAAGAGATTTCAAATCTCGTTGTAGTTTCTCACTCTTCGTTCTTATCTGTTTGTAACACTGATGGATATAGATAGATAGAATCCATAAGATAGATAGATAGATGTAAATGCTTCTCTCTTACTGTCAGCTATCAAATAGAGACAGTAAGGATGCTTGTCTATACAAAAGTAAATCAGTCGAAGCCCGCAGAGTAAGCCTGGTAACAACCAGTAGTGTTAAGGAGCGATGAAGGGATAGATGGGCAAAACAGCATGTGTGGATGGTGGTGTGGGTAGGCGAGTGCCTGTCCTGGATAGATGGGTGGGTAGCGGATATGGATGGAATGGTGGGGACTGTATTAGTGGATAATTGAAATGGTAGTCTGAATGGATGGGTGGGGATAATGCATGGATGGCAATGATGGATGGCTGTATTAGATGGAGAATGGTATGCGGTAGATGATGATTGATTTGATCAAATATGAGGATAGGTAAAAACTGAGTCTAGTACACACAGTGGCTTCCTCTTACTGGTCGCGCTATCAATAGAAGACAGTAAGGGTATTTTTTATACAAA